AGGGCCTCCCTTGCTGGACAGGTCAAAGGGTAGGCATCAGACGAAGAGAGACACCAAAAACTGATGCCGGAAGCAGCGTCATCAGCAGCGACTTGAAGCACAGAGCAAATGATGCTCAAGATGGTTCAAGTTCGTATAGCAACAGGCGTGACCAGAGTGGTTTGATCGGCAGTTGTACTGCGATGTGGAAAGCAAATGGAAAAACTACCACATTATCACTTTTCCTGGATAGTCTCTTTCCAAAAACAGAAGATCGCATTAAGTGGAGGAACTGTTTTGGAAGAGACTGTGGACCTGTCGTCTGACAGATTACTGATGAATGAATGAATTAATCTGACAGATAAAATATCTTCATACTTGTTTCAGCATCATAAGTAGTCAGAGCTCCTGGCTACAGATCTAGAGGTCCATGTTCAATTCCCGGCACTACCAAATTTTCTGAGAAGTAGTGGGTCTGGAATGGGGTCCACTCAGCCTTGTGATGATAATTGAGGAGCTATTTCAAGGAAATAGCTGCTCCAGTCTAGAAAACCGAAATTAACGGCCATGGGAATTTGTTGCAGTGACTGTGACATCCTCTATCCCAGTGGTCGGCGAACCGGGGTAAATTACCCCAAGTGGGGTAATAATTAAATTCTTGGGGGTAATGAGGACTCAATAGAAATAAATGAAATTGTATAAAAAACGCGTTCCTTGTTATGACAGAAATTTTTCTTCCGGCATATAACCATCCGTAACAGCGGCTGCTACGGAAATTGTTTAAGAGTCCATCATGGCAGCGTGACGTCATCACTAAACACTCCTATAGATAAACGCACCCAGCGTGTTGTGGATGATAGCGTTTGGATCAAAGCTTTTACAAGTATATTGGAAGATTGTGAAAATATTAATTTTGATGACATCAAGGACACAGTTATAAGGCATCTTACCAAACTCAAAAAGCGGTTCGATGATTACTTTCCAGATCTTGATTCACATAATGTCAGTTGGGTTGTAGATCCCTTTAAATGTGAAATTGCTGATGTACCAGAAGAGCCTCAAGGTTTGGCAGAGGCACTTCTTGAACTTCGATCCAATAATGAAGCACGTATTGAATTTGAAAACAAAGCAGATCTGTCATATTTTTGGATGTCAAGAGCTGCAAATGCTTTCAGAATTGCACATGAGGAGGCAGTCAAAAAGTTGCTGCCCTTTGCAACAACCTACCTTTGCGAACAAGGATTTTCCACTCCACTGAACATAAGAACAAAGCAGAGAAATCGATTGGACCCCGAAGACAGTATGCAAATTGCTCTGACATCAAAATGTCCCAATTTTGATGATATTGTATCAAAAATGAAACAACATATCTCCAAAACCTGAAGCGAAAAAAATGTTCTAAGAAATCCTTTTGTTTCATAATGAGGATATTAATTTACTCGTATTTTATCGCATTTATTTTATACTTTTTATATTTATAATTGTATTCTCCATATAAATAGATTCAATGAACCTTTTGAATTTGAATAATCTATGTTTTCCTCTCTTTCAAATCAAGGGGGTAACGTCGGCATAAATTAATATATTTTGGGGTAATAAGTAAAAAAGTTCCCTGACCCCTGCTCTATCCGCTAAAGTTGACACCAACTTCTCCGACAAGCGGCGGTTTCTTGGTCGGTATAGTTCACTTGTGGACTAGAACCATGGAGTTTGTTTCTGTTTGTTTGTTCCAGCATCATAAACTAACTGAACTGGAAAGTAGTCAGGAGGTCACAAGTTTGAATCCTAGCTGTGAATTTGCTGAGAATTTTATGGTTATCGTCAGTCCTTGACACAGGAGTTAAAGTATATTAAAATATATCCCATCCATCATAATCACCCACCATTTATTTCAGATTGTATAATCTCAATTTTGTAGAATCGCCAAATTAAAACATTAATACAGAGATATGAAAAATAAATTGTTAAAAATACAAAACGTGCATTTTTAAAATTTGCTTTTAATAAGACAACAAATGCTCTTCACAAAAGAAAATTGTGATTAACATATGACATAGATACACTTAATGTCAAATATATCCTGAAAACTTCCAAAGACATGGGCCTAACTGTTACATAAATCACACTCGCTAATATTCCTAACACGGAGGGAGGGAGGTATGATATATATTATTAAAATATACTGAAATCATAAAATGTAGCAGTAACACAAAAATGCACATAATTCCCACTGCATTTCAATATCACCTAGTACAATAAACATATTGAATGCTTGTAGTTTCTTCCAGAGGTGTATTAAATTAAATAATGTAAACTATTCTTCTTTATGAATTAGCAAAGTAGAACCTAGGGGCAGTCTATTTTAATAAGGACAAGATATATTAATTGCGACTGCCTAACAATAGAGTATAGAAAATGGGGACAATAGGGTTTCAGAACTAGAGGAACCAACCAATACACTAAAACACAGCAAAAGAATATACTGATATACACCTCAGAAGAAACTTCTTAATTACTAATTAACTGTGATGGTAATTTGCTGCAAGTTCCACAAATAACCCTAGAATTGCCAACTGTAATTCCTGCAGTGTCGAGATGTCATTTTAGGTTGTCAAAACTGCACTACTTTCATGGGTACATAATAGATATACAAACATCTTTAGAATTTCAAACATAGTGAAAGAATTTCATCCAAATATTTGACTATTTATGTAGTTCAGTTAAAATGCCTACTGCCAAATATAGCAGTTTTTATAAAAATTTGACTCAGACAACACAGGGGTTTGAATAAGGCTGTGAAATATTTGACACTTGACACTTGCAGAGATAAGCCAACTTTTTACACTATTTCTCAAAATAACAATTCCCTAAATTCATAAATGCTATTTTATAAAATATACATTTTCATAATTTATAGATAACATTTCAGATAAATTGTACAACTTAATCTTTAAACATAAAACAAAATATTAACACAAGTAATCGCACAGTCGCAACCATCTGAATGGTTACTGCAGCTCTACAAGCCCAGTCTTCTTGATTTAATGATTAAATGGCAAAGTAAACTTAAGACATCACATACTCATGACAAGTTTCAAGAAAGGAATTTTACAATAGTATAAGTATTTTTTTTTTCTTTTTTGGAAGTTCACAAGCAGTGTTTCTCAAATTCTTACAGCAAACCCCATTTTCTTTCAAATGACATACAGCTGATGTCTCTTTGGGTTATAGTATTATAGATTAATTTAGTTTATTTTAGGACTGGATTTACTGCTGTGGGGGGTCCTGGGGAAATTAAAATGTGGAGGCCCTTATCAGTACTAATAAATTCAGGTTATGACTTTTTTTATTATTATTTCATATAGCAACTGAAATTACAAATAGCTTTTCATGATTTTAGAGAAGCAACTGTCTCAAAAACTGTGTGGATTCTATTTCTGTATTGTGAAGGATCAAGGGTGGCTGTCTCAGTTGCTTCCCCATAAATCCTGCCCTACTTTATTTATATTTACCCCTTCCCTTAATTTTTATATTAAATAACATTATACATAATCTTTACACAATCCACTCTTCTTCTTGCACCTTTCCATAGATCAAAATTCAAGAGACATTGTTATATGGAGCTATGAACTGTGTACTTCTTTGCAGTTTAGTAAATCCTCATAAATCCAGAGTGACAGCTACCATATAATAATAAGAAACAGAGCCATACAGGAAATATGTGATTTGATTGAAACAAGTCATTTCAGGTGATCACCTACGTACAAGGATTAGTATCCAATGTGTCACAGACTCCGTCTGTCTCCAGAGCAGCTGTGATGAGTGAACTGTCGACTAAAGACGGTCTCAGAAACGTTGGTTATTAACTCCACATTCATATGACTGATCACCCAACAAGACTTAACTGCATCCAACAACCATGAAAGCTACAAATCTTATATATTTCAATAAATTGTATTACATAATAAGAGACAAGCACTTACCAAACTGC